TGGACTGTTGTCCTCATCTTTGTTGCTATATTCATGACGTTTCGGCCGTTGTAAGATGGGGCCTTTTCAAGATCTGGCTGTATTTCTAAGATGACGTATTGTAATTATTTGCACTATTTAAATTGTTTGAACTGCTGTCCTCATCTTTATTGCCATATTCAAAATGTTTCGGCCGCTGTACGCTCTGTCCTTCTTCAGGTCATTGGAATTTCGAGCCGAAACTTTTATTTCATCTACCAGAGTAAATTGTTCTAATTCCACGTGTCAATCATAAAAGGAAGGCTCTTACATTTAATATGGAGATTATTCTGTGTTTCTGGAGAAGTTATGTCTATGACTCCAGATTTAATCTACTATATCCGAAGCGAGAATATATTCCGCGAATTGGTCTTGGGTTTTCCCAAATTTAGGACTTCTTAGCCGGGGATTTCTGCATCAGGGGAATATATATTCCCAAAGGGAATATATATTTAATCAGGTTACTGGCTGAATGAATGACAGATCACTTTCGTCACTGTAGAAAGGGAAGTCACTAAGCGGTCGTTATTTGACTATCCTTATTGTATCCTCACAATGAAAATAGTCAGAGGGTAGCGGTAGGCACATAGTTATTGATCGATTATTGGGAAATTGTTTTTTTTTAAGAAAAGCGTGAGTACCACTAGCACGCAAGGGGTTACTGAGAGTGAGGGCAAAGGTAAAGAGGGGTGGTTTGAGGAAAGGATATAGAGAAGGACGGGGATCAGGGTCAAAACATCAGAAGATGTCGACTGACATTATATTTGAAGATTGTAGCTATCAGGGAAGCAAGTAAGGGGAGTTCAAGATAAGTTGTTGGAGTAGAAGAGACGGCTATATCTAAGCGATTCGAGAGTGAAATGGTGGGATCGAGATGCCACCCTGGTAGTACGTTTAAATTCATGCAGTTTGGGTACAAGTGAAAGTAGCTCGTCAGAGCAGTTGACATGAAAATATGTGTAGAAAAACAGAGGGAAGCCGCAATAGGTCTATGAGAAAGTGACTGTAAACGAGGTGCCAGATTAGGATTTATCATATTGCATATCCGTCTTTGGATTTTGTCGAGAACCTCAAGATGAACAGCGGTGGCACTGGGCCATATATGGCAACAGTATTCAATGCAAGGATGAATGGTTGATTTGTAGATTTGAAGGATAGACTTAGGCGAGAAAAACCTTCTGGCGCGACAAAGAAATCGTTTGGATGAAGTAAGCTGGCTGATTGTCATTATTCTAACTTTTCTATCTTAGGGGAATGTGAGTGGTTCGAGATCTTCAAATATACGTTACGATGAAGTTGGTGAATTTTTCCTCTTCTTGAAAATCCTAAAAATATGATTTTTTACGGGTTATCATCCTTTTGCAGGTTATTTAAAGCCATAAAATATTTCTAAAATTTTTTAGTGTAGGTTAATAATGATTTACTGATGATTGTACAGGAACTGATGTTTCAACGTGATGTGGCCGTAAAAAGAAAAGCAAGTTTGAACAATGAGTGACATAGCAATTTTGAGGTTGCAGGACAAGGACAAATGACTGGGAAAGTGGTAAAAAACATTTAGAATAATGCGGCCAACGTACATCAGTAGAGACATAAAAGAGGCCTCGGATGGCAAGCGGACATTTTTGACAAAGCCAGTTCCATTCCGAGTTTTCACGTGAGGAGATCGACAGCATGGCATGTCTATATATGGGCCTCTCTGCAACTGTTTTTTTTTTGTAAGATGCCTGATGCCAAAAAAGACAGGAGGAAACTACCAGTTGCCAAGTAATGGTGCCTTGTGAAGTTGGTCTCGTCGGCATTTTTGTTCCTGTGGTTTCCGGGGTAGTGTTATTTTTGTTACACTTCCCGTCTACTTCTCTTCTCTATCTATTTCCTCTCTATTTGTGGGAGAGCAATCGTTTAGGTTTCCCCCAACCTCAACGCACACCCTACAACAAAAATGACAAAAAAAAGCAGGAAGCTGTAGAGAGCAATGATCGTCCACGTACTGAAGAGGCTCATCACGTAAATGAAGTGAATTCGCTACGAACTGAATAACACTACACATGACCTTGTATTAGAATCATCGGCTGTTTACGGAGGAAATCAAGTAAGCGTTTCATCGCAACTACACAAACCAATCTTCTTGAATCATGTTAATACCTGAGTTATTATCAAACAATACAAACAATAAAATTTGCCACATAATATCTTTGTAATTTAAAATCCTTTGGGTTTAAGAGAATTAAAATGTCTTAATTTAGCCAATACATTGTTAATACTTTTTAAATTGTGGCTGATTGAACACTTTCACGTTAGCTTGGATTGCAATAGCGTTTGTGATAATTAGTGAAAATTAATTTTCTCGCGAACCGAGAAAGATGTTGACGTTTTCTTCAATATGGCGGGTTGATTATCGACAGGACTACTTTAAGTGTAATCATTCGTCCATCGAATCTGGCCCTAAGCCAGCAGCGAGGAAGAGATGAAGGTGAAGTATTGGGCTAATTTGTTTGCGAACGATTTTCGGTTAAAGACGGAATTAAAAGGGAATTTGGTTGATGAGAGCTGAGAACGTTCGGAAGAAATATATATATATATATATATATATATAATATATATATATATATATATATATATATATATATATATATATATATATATATATATATATATATATATATATATATATATATATATATATATATATATATATATATATATATATATATATATATAGTTATGACAATGCTTAGATGCTTAGATAGATAGATATGAACAGAGTTTGTCTATAGTGACAGACCCAAAGAAAGTGAGTTCAATACCTGGTTAAGGCAGTGGAGAACTTTCAGAGGGAAAATTAGCAGGAGATAACTGATAATTGACATCCATCAAACATGGCACGTGGAACTAGAACAGTCTACCCCAGTGATCGAAATAAAGGTGACAAATATGGCGACAAAGATGAGGACAATAGTCCGACTAATGTAAATACTGTAGATATGAACAGGCTGAGCTAATACAGATATGAAAGAACTGAGATATAGATAGATAGTTAGATAGAGAGATATGAATAGATTGATATATACATACATACACACCTCAACTTGTAGACACCTGAGGGCAAATTGGTACCCGAGGAAAAAATTGGAAGTAAAAAAAGAAAGAACTAAAAACATCAAAACAAGGCGAAAACTATCGTCAAGTGTCTTAAGTCCTTAGTCTAAAAAAAAGCCAAGTGAGTCTAAAGACAACGGAACCGTAGAGGGCTTAATACGCTACGTAGAGCGGTAAATTAGAATAAATCCTAACGAGCCAAGCAATTTATATATATAGATATAACTCAGTCTTCTCTCTCTCTCTCTCTATATATATATATATATATATATATATATAGATAGAGAGAGAGAGAGAGAGAGAGAGAGAGACAGAGACAGAGACAGAAAGTAACTTGTTAATCTCTCTCTCTCTCTATATATATATATATATATATATATATATATATAGAGAGAGAGAGAGACAGAGAGAGACAGAGACAGAGAGAGACTGAGTTACCCAAAAGCATGGGAAATATATATGCAGGTTAGAAGGGTAGGTTAATGATGGCGAGGAAATGTTAATACTGGGGAAATATAGTACTAAATAAATAAATAAATAAATAAATAAAGAAAGAAAGAAAGAAAGAAAGAAAGAAAGAAAGAAAGAAAAGTGGAAATATATAAAGAATGAGCAGAGAAAAAAGACTGTGAATGTTTTCTAAAAGACAGCAAAAGTAAATAAAGAAAGAAAAGGAAAAAGAAACTTAAAGCGAAATAATATGAAAAATTTAAAAAATTAAAAAAAAAACAGAAAAAAGAGGGTAAAGTGTTAAGGAAAGAATGGAAGTATAATTAAATGAGAAAAAGAAAAGATGAAAAAGAGAGAGATAGAAAAGGAGAAAGCAGAGGCAAAGAAACTAAATATTTGGACTCTCTGAAATTAATGATTCCCATTCATTTCGAAAGTTACTACAACATAAACGAAGTAGAACAATACGGTAGTATAGTGTAATAACATCAGTTACAGGACACTGTTTACGTGAGCACATCCTGAGGCCACGACAGATTCGCTGAACAAGCAATCGACCCCAGGCTGTGATTTGTCTTTTTTTTTTATTTTATTTTTTTATTAGATGATGTATTGTCGGTATTGGTCGAAACTGTCATGGTCAAAGAGAGATGGAAGTTAATGAAAGATTCCCTCGGACGTACTAAAGATAGCAATAGTCACTCTTTAATAAAAGGAGCCATCGTTATTAGTTCGACAGTATTTCCAGGGGTCAGCGGTGCATGCAACACTGGGTATCGTCGTGGAAACGCTCGGCACAGTGTGACGGCACTCTCTGTACAGTCTAGTTATTCCCCTCCTAAGCTGGGGATTGAACCCTGGCCTTCGCGGGAATCTTCACCACTAGGCCAGTTTTCTGTTATATAAGTGGACACACAGCCTGAATAGGAGCACATCTGGTCATTATTCGATTTTCTATGTTCCGATTTAAAAAGTTAAATAGACAAATAGGTTCCCTTCGGTTACTAATAGTGTCATTAACCAATTACAGTGGCATTTAGTAAGTGACCTAATTACGAAGAAAGGTGCCACTTACCTACTAAATCATCACATTCGGTTTTTCATTCCAAAGTATTCTTTATTTCATAGTTTTAAATATATAAATAACTGAGTGAAGCTTGGCTTGTCTCACACCTCACTGTTCCCACGACTAAAACGTCTTACAGTGCTCACATTCACTGTATGGTCACCATAAACGTTCAGTAAGCGTCGATAAATGCCAATACAGAATTCAATAACAGCCCCTTTTTGTACACAATTCCATATCGTGTTTCCAAACTTCCATTCAGCTGTTATTTTTCATAAGGCCAGAAAATTATGGGTTATTGGAGGGGAGTTCAACCTCCCCCTGCTGTACAAGCAATATTAGCCACTGGCGACCGGAGTCAGGAAAATTAAATAGGAGTAATTCCTTTTGGAGCGACGTCTGTAGTAGGACTATAAAGAGATGAAGGAAGAAAAAAGAAAGAAAGAAAAAACGAAAGAAGGAAAGAAAGAACGAAAGAAAGAAAGTGTAGGAAGAAGAAGAAAAAGAAGAAAGGATAGAAGAGAAAGAAAGTGTAAAACGAAGAATAAAAAAAGAACAACAACAACAACAACAAGAAAGAAAGAAAGAAAGAAAGAAAGAAAGAAAGAAAGAAAGAAAGTGTAGGAGGAAGAAGAAAAATAAGAAAAAGAAGAAGGGATAAAAGAGAGTGTAGAAAGAAGAAGAAGAAGAAGAAGAAGAAGAAGAAGAAGAAGAAGAAAAGAAGAACAAGAACAACAACAACAAGAAAATGAAAGAGAAGAAAAAGAAAAGGTATATAAACGAAAGAAAGGACGTGTAAGAAGAAAAAGAGGAAGAAGAAAATGGAAAAGAAGAAAAAAGAAGAATGGATATAAAAGAAAGAAAGAAAGAGAGAAATAGAGAAAGAAAAATAAGAATTAAAATGTGAAAGAAGCATTACGAGAAGGTAAATTAGAAGAAGAAAACGAAAAAGGAAAAAGAATAATAATAATAATAATGATAATAATAATAATAATAATAATAGGCAAGAAAGAAGAAATAAACTTATGAAGTCCTTCAGGAAGGAAACATCTATGGAATAAAAGTGGGGGGAAAAAGAGGAAACACTCATGGTAAGAGATAAATAGAAAGAAACAGAGATACCAGTACAGAGAAAGAGAGATACCAGTACAGAGAAGAGAATTGAATAAGATTTTGATAGACGTGGAAAGAAAAAAAAATGTCGGTAATGATATCTAAGTACGTAAGTTATATCTGTAGCAACACCAACTTGATTGATATAATTAGCTTATTGACGTAATTGGATTGATGCCTCTTCTGAGAATTTGGCCGCATGTGCCAGCGACTGTGATTGGCCAAGCTAGAAGTAATCAGAAATGTCGTAATTACGGGAACCATTTGGAGACATTCGAGAATGGCCATGCCGATGTTTAAAACCTGCGTCCAATGATTGGATTAGGTTTGTTCAAATTGCGAAAACGAATTGAGCCCAAGCGCTGAAAATAAGTTTTAAATACAATTGTGGGTCAACTGAGAAAGCTTCTAAGTTAACATCTCGTAATTTGACGTTATCACATCTTTCTTTGTAAGTTTACTGATGGGCAAATTTGGGCACGTGGCCAAGTGGTTAGAAGGTTCGCATCCTGACCATCGGACCCGGGTTCGAATCACATCATGGTCGATTTGTCAGGAAGGAGAATTCCTGATATAATCGGACTGGAGGGGTCGATCCCAGCGTTCGGCACTATTGGGAGAAAAAAAATGAAGCCTGAAAACCATACCAGTGTTGACCCAAGTCTTGTGAGTGAATTTGGATAGACGGAACCCTTGGGTACTGTCTATACCTATGCTAGTACGAAGTCACGTCATCGTAGCCGAGGGCTTGAGCGTGCTGATCTTGTTCAAATTGTTGATCACGCTAGATAACACGCTCTTTCCCAGAAACATGAAACTAAGATCTGTTCAGCATACTTGCAGTATAAACCACAGGTGGGTTCTGTGAGTGTTGAATAAACTCAAATGACATGCTAATGGGCATGAGCCAGCGTCTGCAATAGCGATTGGCTAACCGTCCTAGTAGATGTGTATCCTCGAATACGCGTGACCAACTATACATACACAGACATATTGATGGTCAAGGAACTGTGTATCGACAATGTTATAGTGGAACACACCTATTCTATAGTTAATAGACTCTCTCACCTATAACAAGTAGGAGTAGTAGCAGTCGCTTAGTGAGCTGGTCAGTCAGTCAGCTGTCTGATCGGTTGAACTCTCCGCCTTCGAGCAGGGAGGAACCCGAAAGAGGCTACGCTGAAGGGCGGATTCTCTTTCGGGGAGGTAAACCGACCCTGAACCCGTTCATACGGGTTTTAAAAGGGCACATTTTTGGCCGAGCCAACGTTAAACCGGCCTTGTGTCACATGATGCACTTGTGGGGGGGACTAAATATCGTTGGTCAGTCAGTCGATGTCGGACGACCGTTAGTAGGATATTAAAGTATCAGCCACCACAACTAGATTACTGCGTCATTACCTATTATATCAAGTTCCTAACGTTTTTTACGTCGAACCTATTTTGGGACCGACTTAGTACAAGTACAAGAGTCCACCGTGAAACCACTCTACAACACACAATAATATAGTATTCCTCGAAGTTACTTTTGTTTCATAAATTAGGCGATTGTGGCTCGACACAGCTTTCTTCTCTCCCTTTAAATAATTTTAAAGACTTTACCGCTTGTCTTTGTTCTGTAATCCATTTGCACACACTTGGTAAGTAGGTTATCAACTGTTTCCTCATCCCGGGTATGACCATAAACTACATCCGTTAGCAAGGCCTTAGGTCGGGAGGTTGGAGCTTTTGAGGATCGTGAAGTTACATCTTACCTGCTATTAACCTAAGGTCATCCTGACACGTGATGGTAGAAGCTTTTATGACCCCCAACGATGGTAAATTATTGAACCTTCAAACAAAACACTATGGAAGTTTTAAAAAAAATATAGTAAAATGAAAATCAATACATAATGATAATAGAATGATTTTATATATAGTTGAAGGCATGCAGTTATGTTCATGATATTTAGATTTCGGCATTAAATAACCCATGGAGGTGTTGATATGCCGCTAAACAAATCAACCAAACAACCAACATGAAAGAATTCTTTTGTAACATTATCCATCTAATATCCGCCAATTTCTTAAAGAAATCGAACTGTATTCCAAAAAATAACTTCAAACAAAACTACAACATAAAACACACATATCACCGCCTGTAATAATCCTGGCCACACAAAGCTGAGTGCAATTATCATAATAATTGATACAGCATTTGCAGCAAGATTTTGACATCCCTCAAAAAGAAGAAAAGAGTGAGATAGAGAGTGAAAGAAAAGAAAGGAAAGAAGGAATAATTAAACATGAGCCGATAGGGTGACCTAGAAATGATTTTTCTTTAAGGACTGAACAAGTTATACAACAGGGTAAGGAAGGGAGTAAGCAGATTTAAAATAGATACATTGAACTGTTTGATATTCGACGGCAAAACAATCATCATCCCATTATAATCATCACAATTGCAAATTGATAATAATAATTATAATTATAATAATTACATTTGTCATCAATAACATAAAGTAAGTTATATAAAATAATTAAACATTAAAATATACAAAATACATAAAAATATACGTAAAAAAATAAAAATATACATATATGTATGTATAAATATATATATATGTGTGTGTGTGTGTGTGTGTGTGTGTGTGTGTGTGTGTGTGGCGATAACAATGATAGGCTAAAGCTGGAAATGCTACCAGTCAGTGGAAGTCTAAAAAAAAAGCAATAACGTGCTCAATATCAGAGATAAGGCATTAATAGGATTAATATAAATATTAAATTTTTCACTTAGCTGATTCATGTTATATTTATCACCTCGACTCCACAGTAGTAATCCCTCTGTTACTCTCTTTGCTGATGCCTCCTGAAGAGCGGCTAGAGCGATTACTAAAAGGTCCGGTTACAAAACCCAGAGGTCGGGGAGCTGAATATAATATCAGTCAGCTAAGTAAGAAATTTCATATTTGTATTAATCATATATATTTGACATCAGCCGGAGATTTTTCTCCTAAGCTATCGGCTTTCGTCAGAGAGGGTGGTATATTTTTACGTATTTATTTTGAATAACACAAAATTAGAGTGTTCAATTCATAGAAGAGCTTTGCATTATCAGCAGTAGCAGTCACTGTTTACAAATTCGCGCTTTTCTGGGGGCATATATATATATATATATATATATATATATATATACATTTGCATAAGTGTATATGTGGTAAATATATATGAAAAAAACAAAATCTTTAATATTACCTTCGAATATTACTCCATCTTAATTCGAAACCTAAACTTTAAGCAAGAAAGATTACCCATCTAAAAATAATTACAAATTACATTCATGAATTAGATTCAAACTGATGAAGATGCTACCTTAACTGTCTTTTACAATAGTAAAAGAGTACTATTGGTCGGGTAAACAAACTGTTATAGTTTAAAACTGTTTTAATGTGTTCTCTATGAATGTGTTAATAATTACAGTATTTACCTTATATTAAATCCCTAAATTATTTGTAAAAACGTTAAATATTTAAATTGCTAGCAAGCATCAAATTAATTTCTTCAGGTTTTTTTAGACATCTAAATTACTATCAAACATTAAAATCTATTTTTTACATAAATTGCTAAAACTTACCACCCCTCTCCTTCATATGTAAAACCCAATTACAGCCTCTTTCACTTTACTTCCCCCTTCTTTCTTTTTCCTTTTCCTTTTCTCTCTTCTCCCCTCCCATTTCAATATATCACTTTCGTTAAGTTAACTGTTTAAATAAGTCAAGGTCTGGTCACTCCCCCTCCCCAATACTAAGTATGATTGAGAAAAATATTAAATTAAACCCTCTCTAAACTCTACCATGTCTCTCTAACCACCACCACACTCTCTGTTACAAACTTACACTACCCATCAATTTTCATTTCATTTTCGTTTCATCTTTTGGAAGTGCTATCTGATGATCTGGTGTCCTTTAAAAGGGCTATGGTGAAATAAATTATAATAATCGAACCTTAAAGTGGTCTGTTTTTCTTTGACATATATATATATATATATATGTAATCAGAGTAGAAGTAATAGGCGTATATATATATATATATATATATATATATATATATATATATATATATATATATATATATATATATATATAATCAGAGTAGAAGTAATAAAAATATATATATCAACGCATCCTTGGATTGTCATGGCAAGATGGCAAGATCGAAAACAGCATGTTAATATTCTCCCGCATAATACAGCTCAGGTCGAGTGGTCATGCTATCAGGTAGCCCAATGACCGTCTACCAAAGAAACCCTATATAGGGTACAATCAGAATTACAGCTCTTGTTGGAGGACAGAAAAATTATATTTCAAAACCAAGGGAAGTGTTTGGAGTGATCACTAGTGATGGTAACGGCATACTTCTTCTCACGGGGCTTCAAACTTAACACGGTGGCCTACATCAAGTGTGTTAGGGAGGTAGTGCTGTTTGGGCCAAGAGGATGATTGCTGGAAAACTCTATGTCTGGCAACAATCTATGCCACGCAATCAGGATAACGCAGTCATATTGCTGTCAGATAATTCCTTCGACTACATAATCCCTTACATTTGAACGCCTAACTCCTCAGACTGCAATCCCTTTGAATATTATGTGTTGGGCATAGTAGAACGAGAGACCAACAAAACTCTTTGTAACACTAAAGATGAACTGAAGGCAAGGATTATGCCAGCATTAACCAACTTAAACAAGGAAACCACCCAGAAGAGTTGGAGGAGATTCCAAAGTCGTCTTAAGGCCGTGATTGAAGCCAATTTTATTGAATAAATGTA